GTCTGCCTTTTCTTTTGCTTGAAATAGAAGGGTCCTTCTACTGTCTGGGGGAAAATGTGACCTTATCCACAGTCATTTGATTGTCACACTGCTGTCAGTGGCTTCTACCTAATTCTAGTTAAAAATAAATCAATTGTTAATGAGATTGTTTTTCCCACCCCACCACAAGCAATTGGTGTCCTTGAGGCCCAGCTCAGCCAGTAGAAATCCTTTCTTTGCTTTAATGCTTGAAGCCCCACAGATCATCAGAAAGTTTTTGTAACGAGTGGCTGTGACTGTCCCAGTTGCAGCTCAGTATTTGTACACAGTTTGTTTTAAGACCACAGAAGTGTGTTTGCTCTGAGGTTCATCCTGTGCTACTTTCACACAGGGCTCAAGGGCTCTCTGAAATATGTTCTTTCTCTGCTCTTTTTCATTCATTCAATCATTCTTGCATACATGCACGTTTTATCATGAATAATATCTTATTCTTTTTGTCTTACTCTGTCCTTACTTGTTTTTTTTACTCACTCGTTCTGATCTCATTTTCCAGACAAGCATCAAAGCAAACACAACCTCCAGAGCATGCAAACCTCCAACTTTCAATCCTTCATGGGATTTTCTTTATTAATGATCAGCATTCTTCACGATGTGAAATCCCCTTTCTTCACTCTTCTCTGCCCGATCCTCCCTTCCCAGGTAGCAGGATGCAGTGCAGCTGTAACTCATCCAGGCCCTTGTCTTTATCTGTGCATTTTATGGCCAAGTTCAGCATCTCAAACAAGCAGGCTTGAGCACATCTCTCCCTGGGACAAGTACATGAAACCGAAAGGAGTGATTGCGAAGAAGGGAGTAGAGGAGAGGGAGAAGGAACGGCAGGAGGGTGAGCAGGTTGGTGGAGAGGCAGGTAGAAGCGATCTTCAAGCGTGGCTCCCCGGGTTAGATCCGTGCAGGCTCGGGGCCAGGTGAGGTCTGCATGCAGCTGCCCGCAGCCCACCCGCTCCAAGCACGTCCCGCTGCCGTGCAGGTGCTTCAGTCCCCGCGCAGCACCGGCAGCGTGTGGTGTATCCCAGCACAGCCTAACCAATGTGCAGACTACTGTACAATCTCGTAGTCCTGAACAGGTAGTCTGAACACTGGGCAGACGGAGTGGAGCCTCTGTGATCTGCTGTCCGGCTATCAGCAGCTTATTAGTCCTTTCTCCTCCCTGCCTTTGGGATGGGGTTTTGGGGACAGAGATGGTGGGAGACAGAGTCCAGGTCCTGATTGAAGAAACATCCTCTTTCTGGCAGCTGGGAAGAAAAGATGTTGCTCCTTGCTGGTTTCCATTTTTCGAGCAAGTGTCCAAGCTCTTTCCTCTTCCAGTGCTGGTGTCAGGAAGCTGGTACCTGGTGTCCACCTGGGATGTGCTGCACCTTTGTGGAGAGAAAGGGAGGGGGGAAAAAAAAAGAAAACAACAATCAATTACTGCTGTTGAGGGAAGAAATGCTGAAGCTTTGGCTGTCACCCAGGTGTGCAGAACTCGTTGCTTCATTCCACCCTTTTTCTCCCCCCTGCATCTGGCGCAGCGGTTGGTGGGGCTGGGCGGGAGGATTCCCAGGCCCTCTCCATCTCCTCCGGCCCAGCTCTGTCCTGCAGAACAGCCCTCGCGCGGGGTCCGGAGCACAGCGCAAACAAGACCGGCCTTCGCTTCCAAGCCCTCAACAAGAGTCCTTTGACCCGCCTTGGCCAGTTGCCTTTGCAGCTAGCCTGGGGCTACTGCGGGAGCAACCCGCGTCCCCTCCTTCTCTCCCCCCACCATGTCTGGCACTCGCTGAGCCTTCCCTCCCTCTTCTGGTTTTTTGCTCCCTCCCTTCTTGCTTCCCTTCTGTTCTTCTGCCTCAATTGACGTGGCACTGGAAAGCTAACTAGACTCGAGGGAGGAGCTTGCCGGCTGCTGGGAAGGCCGGAGGTTGGCAGGAAGTGGCTGACGGATAGGGTTGCGCGGGGGAAAGGAAGGTTCCCTACCTCGCCTGGAAACTTGAGGAATGCAGGCTCCTTCGGCGGCGCTTGGCTCCCATGTAGCGATTCCAGATGTTCGCTGGCCTCTCTGCCTCGCTCCCTCTCTCCCTGGTGCTGCAGGATAAAGGGAGCTTTATGCGCGTCGCTCTTCCACGCTCCCTTTTCCTGGTCTAAATACTGGTGGGCAGTAAAAATTTATGGCCAGAAATGGCAATATCCAGAACTCACATTTTGGCCTTCACCATGCACTGGTGAATAAGAATATATAGAGAACAACATCAGTGCCTCTCTGCTTCCCAGAGGAGAGTCTGCACACGTGTCCCGCTTCGCCTCATCCAAGCAAGCGGAATAGTTGAGCTGGTTCCTCTGCGCTGGCGGGGAAGGTGCGTGTGCCCGTCCTCTGCCCCGGCTGGAGGTCACGGCTTTGGAGGGCTGGGCAGCAGGGTGAAGGCAGCTGGCCTTGCCCATCCATTCACTAGCAGCGTGTTTAAACCTGCGTATTATTTCAGCTGATGTCCATCTTTGCCCTTTTGGGCAGGTGAGGAAGATGCATGCAGGCAATTACTGTTGCGCTCAGCCTACAGCGACGGTTGCGTTTAATCCCGTGAGTCCAGGTCTGGTGTCTGCAGAGCTCTTGAGCTAAAGCAGCTTAAACTCTTAGGATGTGATGTTAACCCAGTGCAGCTTTGCTCTGCAAACAAGCCATTGTGGCTGCTTTGCAGCTTGGGGCAGTGACCACGCAGTGCCCAGGAAATCATTCTCTGAGGGGAAAAACTGAAGCAGATGGACTGTGTTTTGGGAAGATGTTCTCGAGACATGAATATTATGAGTGACTAGGGCTTCCTGAAATAATCAGTTTGGGAATATAGCTCTTCTAATGTGTATTTTCTTTGCAAAGGCAAGAAGCAGGTGAGTGGTTGGCAGGATTGTGTTCAGGGAGAGGGGTCCTAGTTAAAATGATTAACCAACTTTATGCTTCAATGTGTATATTCTCAATTCCAATACTAATATTTTTCCACTTGGGTAGCCTCTTATTGCAAGAGACTCCAAAATGCCATGCATGAGTTGCACACAAATGAGTTGACTGAATTTCCAGCTGTCTCTTGGGCAGGTTTATTTACCCACAATACTTTATACTTAAAAGAAGGAAAGGAGATTGAGATTTAAGCCTGATGAATTGCTTCTCATTTCACAGGACCAGCAATTAAAACAATGGTGTAGTGCTCCCTTTCCCCTGTCATAGACCTTTATCTCTGTGCAAAAAGTGGTGTTTGTCATAACAGCTACGGGGAAACCTTTAATTAGTTTATCTGTGTGCCAAACTCAAACTGAGACCTAATAATTCTGCCAATTACTTTCTTTATTGCAAGTGCCAATTTCCAGGCTTAGGGGAGCCTACACATGCATCTGTCAGCTTCATTTCACATGTATCCAAGAGAGCAGGAAAATGGAGAGTCCTGTTGAATGAAGGCTCTGCCTTGGCTCACGTTGGCTTGCAGAGCTTTCTGAGCTTCTCGGGGGCTGTTATCTAGAGGATAGCAATGAATATTCAGATAATAGTGCAAACTACTACTGCCTGTAGCCAAAGTCAACGTCTGGAACTTGGCCACCATAAAGGTACGTGCAGGATCATCAAGCTGCAACTGAAGCACCACTTTCTCTTCCCCTACTGTGATGCTTCACGCTCTGTGACTGGGTTGTGATCTTTGCTGGCAGTGTCTTTGTGCAGGGATAGGTGTGAAGAGCAGAGCCCCAGGGCCGTGTCCTGGCTGCTGGGAGCCAGGGCTGCTCCTCGGGCACGTCTGTTGCCTGCGCAAGTAGCTCGCAGCCATCTCTGCAGCTCTTCGTGCGAGTGCCGTGATTCCCGTCAGGAGCAGTCACCTGGATCAGGGATAGCTAACGCTGTGAGCACAGTGCTCTCCAGTCACTATTTCAGCATTCATGTTTAGTCTCCTGCTGCCAGTTTGGGTGTTGCTACCTCTTCTCTACCTCCCGTTGGCCTTGTGGCTGTACAGATTTTCACAGCCAATGCACTCCTTTTGCAGAATCTATATTCTGCTGCTGAGCAGTAATTCTGTGTGTGTGTGTGTATGTGTTGCAGTGGGGGGGGGAGTATTATTTGGGGGTTTCTTCTTTTGCTTGTTTTGTGGCCAAGAGGAGATACCTCATGAGCAACCTGAGCCCCTTGGCATCAAGCTGAGGGCTTTCAATACAGTCTTCTACAAACTCCCTTTTCCACTTTGGTGCGTGCTGGCTCTTCCCCCTCTTCCTTCTCTTCCCCCTCCAAGGCTGTTAAACTAGAGGAGCCCTTTTCCCCTTTTGGCCAGGATGCGGCTCAGCCAGAGCACACACTGCCAGATTGCTAACATATGGGCAGGAGGCTCAGCCAAAGTTTTGAGAGGCTCAGCCCTTGGCAGCTCGTTCCACACTTTCCTGTCTCTGCATTCAGGAAATGAAGTCAGAGTGTTGATATAAACCAGGCTGGACTGAAAACTGAGACGCTGGAAAGGCTGAAAGGGGGATCTGCAGGGGGGAGGTGTGGGGAGATGGAGAGCAGCAGGGGCTCCTGCGCTGAGCAGCGCCCTGCGAAACGCAGGGACTGAGGGTGGTTGTGCTGCCTCCAAGGCCAAGAACTCCAGCTTTGTGCTGCCAGACGGATGCACGGGTCTTGTCTCTGGCATACGGAGAGATCAGCGGGCGGAGAGAGTGTCGATCACATGGGAGCATTTACGCAAGAGCCCTGAAGGAGGGAAAGGCAAAGCAGCTCTGGCAAAGAACATGTGTTTCCACATCTGGGACATGGGATGCCCTTATCACTTGACTATTTTTTTTTATGACTTTATTGCTCAATTTCTATGGAATGATGTGGTTCTATTACTAAGGAATAACTTTTCCCTGATAGACTTCCCCATTGACCAGCCCAGGGACCCTGCTGGAGGGGTATGCAGGGAATTCCAGCTGCGCTGGGCAGCAGCAGGATGGACTGGCTTGCTTAGGGACCCAGGAGTTGCCGTGCTGCACTTCCTGGGTGCTAGTTCAGCCTAAGGCACCACAGTAATGCCTGGAAGCAACAGCAAGCTGGAGCTGAAGACTTCTCTTGCTTTGCAGCCCACTGTCTTTGGTGGAAGAGAATGGGGGTTCGGCTGTGTGTACAGTGATATGTTTCTGTATTTTCCTAAATACTGATTTCTAGGATGTTCTTGCTATGCAAATGCTTGCAATGTTCGCAAACTATGGTTTGTTCTTTAGGACGTGTTTGAGCTGTGTAGGACTTGTCCTTGGCAAACATGAGTCTATTTAACTGAGGCTTAAGAGGACGTAAGTCTGGACTTGCCATCCTGCAAGGGTTTGAGTTCAGTACCTTCACCATCTTTATCTGCTGCTGTGTCCTGCCTTCTACTTAGATTTTAGATTTTCCTTCTAGTAAGATTTTAGTATCTTTGCTCACTGGCAGTACTTCCCTTCCCATTTCCCCCGTGAGCAATCACATTTTGCTGTTCCAGTCAAGAGAGCCTTACAGACGCATTAGTGGCTCAGAAGGGGATGGTCACATGTGCACCCAAGTATGCCATACTTCCCCCAGCATCTTGGAGAGATGCTCTCTGCCTTTTGGAGATCAGTGTGATGGCTCCCTCTTTTGTTATTTTGGGGTATAATATCCAGCTGGGAACTAGATATTTGAAGTGGGGACCTCAAACCAAACTCCCTTCTGTTAATTTGATGTGGGTCCAGATTTGAAAGAAAGGGGAGAAAATTACTTCTGGCTTGATTTTAATTTTGACATTAGCATTCAGAAATTAAGTTTCCCTCTTTTGTTAAAGAGAGCACCTAGAACCGAAAGGGCTGGGTTTTGGGTGCCTTATCCTATACGTTTTGTTGGAAGCACCAGATAGGAACTAAACCATATGGCTGTGGATGCTGTTGCTCTGAAAAGTGGTTGCTTTAAGTCATCTGAGACGAGGCACTTGTAGAATATTTCGTGACTGACCTGTGGGAGCAGGGGGCCTGGGCTGGGAATGCCCCCCTGTGGTGATACGGGATCTGTGTTGCTGACTGAATAGGGACTTCTGGGCAGTGAGTGACTTGTTACTCATCCCCTTTTCAGGAGAAGGAGAAGAAATATATGCTGCCGGTGGATAACCTGAAACTGCGAGATGTCGAGAAGGGTTTCATGTCCAGCAAACACATCTTTGCCCTCTTCAACACTGAACAAAGGTGCGTTGAAATCTCCAAATACCCCAAGCTGTTGAAACCAGAGATGAGTTTTTTATAAAACCAGATGGGAAGGAGTCCAAGGAGGTAGAGCATATCCTTTAAGGCTGATCAGCAGGAGGGAGTCTTGTTAACTCTGGTTTCATTCCTTCTGGTCTTACAGCTGTGTTCCATTTTCCTTCTCCATCAAAGCATGATCTAC